CGCGGGCGCTTCACCTCGGCCTTGAGGCGCTCGATCTCGATCTCCCCGTCCTCGATCTGCTGCCGGAGTTGCTTGGCAACAGTCTTCTCGGTCTCCACGATCTGCAGGAGATGGAGGTACTTCTGCATCAGCGCCTCGTGCTCCGTCGCCAGGTTCCTGTAGCTGCAGAGACACGGCCGTGAGCATCCCTGCCCCGGAGCCTGCCCTGCAGCACCGGGATGGGGGCTTTGGGATCCTCCCTGCTCCCCCCTGCTCACAGCCCCCAGGGCAGCTCCTGCGGCTGGGAGTGCTGCTGCTCCCAAAGGGCCCCGTGGGCATGGGCTCCCACAAGGGGCACACAGAAAGGACAGAGCAAAGGGTAATGAAAGCACAGGAGTCAGAAAGGACCCCCAAACACCCGTGGCCAAACCTCTGCAAACAGCCATGTTCCAAGAGTTTTGAAGGACATGAGTGGCACAAGCTTCTACCAGGTCCCTGCTCCTGGCAGGGGCTGCAGGAGATGGTGTTTGGTTTGTCCCACTCCCTGCTCCTGGCAGGGCCTGCAGGGGATGGTGTTTGGTTTATCCCACTCCCTGGTCCGGGCAGGGCCTGCAGGGATGGTGTTTGGTTTGTCCTATTCCCTGCTCCTGGCAGGGGCTGCAGGGGATGGTGTTTGGTTTGTCCCATTCCCTGCTCCTGGCAGGGCCTGCAGGGATGGTGTTTGGTTTGTCCCATTCCCTGCTCCTGGTGGGGGCTGCAGGGGATGGTGTTTGTCCCATTCCATGCTCCCACACCTCATTTCCTTCCCCAGAGGCAGCTGCACTATGCTGGCTCCTCACTGCTCTCCGTGGCAGCTGGGCTGTGCCAGCACTGCCAGGGCACAGACAGGAGCCTGGACAATCCCTGTCCCCACCAGGTTTGCCATCCCTTCCCAGATTCCCTCAGCCTGAGGGTGAGTCCCTCTGGCTGCAGGCTGGGACGGGCAGTGCCAGCGTGCCAGGGGGGCTGGTGCCATGGCACTGGGATGGGAACAGGGGATCACCTGAGCACAGCCCTCACTCAGCATTGGGGGGACAGAAGTGTCCTGCTCTGCCTGCTGGCAGTGCCCAGCTCACCCTGCTCCCCATCCACCCTCAGCACGGCTTCCCCTCACCCTCACCCACGGGGCACACCTGGCATGAGCGATGGCTGCCACCCACTCGTCACAGTCCTTGGCATCCTCCGTGCGCAGCTCCAGCGTCTTCTGGTTCTCATGGTTGAAGTTCACTGTGAAGTAGTGCTGTGGGGGGAGCACAGGGGGCACGGTCACAGCGACAATCTGCACAGGGGCACGGTCATACCCTGCACAGGGGGCACGGTCACACCCTGCACAGGGGGCACGGTCACACCCTGCACAGGGGCACGGTCACAGCGACAAACTGCACAGGGGCACGGTCACACCCTGCACAGGGGGCACGGTCACACCCTGCACAGGGGCACGGTCACACCCCACACAGGGCTGGCAGAAAGTATTTCTGGACCTGATTTCCTGACCCACCCCAGGCTGTGTCATTGAAAATAAACAGCTTTGATGTTTATTTTATCCCAAAATGCAGCTTTGGGAACACCAGGAGCCCAGCCATGATGTGCCCTCAGCACAGCCAGCCACTGGTGAGGAAAATCAGAGGGGAAATCCTGCTGGGCAAAGACCCAGCTCCAGGAAAGCCTAAATCCACCAAGCCCTCCCAAGGCCAGGGCACTGCAGTCTGCTGAACCTGTGGCCACCCACTGCTCACCTGGGGAGCAGGCAGAGGAGCAGGGATGCTGAGCTGCGCCCGCATCCCACACCACAGTTAATGCTGCCCTCAGAAGGATTTTCCATCCCCAGCGCTCCCCTGGCTGTGCTCCCTGCTGCAGCCCGGCCCTGGCCAGCGNGAGCCTCTGGGTTAATGACAGACACAGGCACACCTTGTGCTGGGTCTGTCCTAATGGCCATCACACACTCACAGAGCCACCGAGTGCTTCAGGCTGGAAAAGCCCTCTGAGATCATCAAGCCCACCCAATCACAACGCTGCCACTAGCCCACCATTGTCCCCAAGTGCCACATGCACACGGCTTTTAAACCTCTCCAGGGGTGGGGATTCAATTGGTGGATGAAGCAGGTGAGGAAAGGTGGCAGAACTGTCACCAGCTCCTCAGTATCTCTGAACCCTGCCAGGACCAGCACCTGGAAATCCTGATGGGTGCCCAATCCAAGCCCCATCCCTGCCTCCCAAAAAAGCCTTCACAGCAACTCAGCAAACACAGCTTGGGGAGAAAATGGCAGAAAAATCCAATGAGCATTTGGACCCCGAGATGTGCAGGCGGGCAGCAGCCCCCAGGCACTCCCTCCCATGTGGGATCAGAGCCATCAGCTCCCGGGTTTGCTTTCACTGTTTCTCCCTGTGCTTTCTCTCCCTCCTCTGCTCATCGCCTGTCCCGGCCCCCACGGCCAAAACCACTTGGAAAGTGACAGGAAAAGGCAAGAAACAGCACATGTGCCATCCAGAACGTGGGAAATTGGGAAAATGTGATCTGGGTTTGGATTTGGAAGGAAACAACTTGGAAAGAGTGCTTTCCTGGGGGGGAGGGGGAAGATGTCCCATTTTGGAGAGAAAGGAGAAAAAAGGTGGAGTTTGGACTGGTGGAAAAAGCAGAAATACACCAGAACTGGCGGCCACAGGCTCATGGTCACTCATCCAGCTTCTACGCATCTGTTTCACCCCATTTCATTATATGGATCAGATGTTAGAGGAGATTTTAGAGCTTGTTGCACACCCCAACACATGGTCAGGGATTGTTACTGACCTGCACATTTTAACCCAAAATTTGAAAATTTTAGGAAAACCCCACCATTAGGACAGATGAAACCTCACTGCCTCCTCAGATGCCCCTTCTGGGACGATGTTGGGATTCTGAGGGATTTAGGGTCAAGGTCCCAGCCCTGCCAGCCCACTCCTGGCTGCCTCCACCCCATGGCTGGTTCCCAATGCCGTGCCTGGCATGAGGAGAGCCTGGCAGAGCACAGGGTGCCCCACACTCGCTGTGCCCGCTGCCCACCCACTGCGNTGATGGGGAAAGCGCAAGGACAAAACTGCCCAAAAGTGCCAGAGCTGCCCGAACTGATGTGCCTCTGATCAGTGAAAACGCATTACTGAGTTATATCTTTAAACTTCCCAGGTCACCAGAGCACACAGGGCAGGGACAGGGCCACAGGGCTCACATTCACCACAGAGGGGAGGGACGCTGGCACTGACACAGACCTTGTCTGACGAAGGTCTGGCTGGTGTCCAGCAGGATCTCACAGCCCTCGATGATCATCCTCTCTATTGCCAGGTTTTTCCGAATGTTTTCAGTCTCACTCACTTCATCGTGCATTATCCTGAAGGATGGAGAGGAGAAAATTAGAGCTGGGCTGGGATCTGCACAAGTTTTCCCTTTGGACACATGGTGGGGCTGCAGCAGGTAAAACCAAAACGGAAGGAATGTCAAGGCAATTGCAGCAGGATCCACCCAGACAGAGCCAGGAGCTCCAGAGGTGACCTGTACATCTGCCCATGCTGTGCCACCAGGCTGATAGATACTGAAATGGGAGTGCTTGGAAATCACAAAATTCAGATTCAGGGCAGACAGACCCCCCCCCTCACTAGCCCCCTGTGATATCCCTGCTCCTTGAGGAGTGGGAAAAGGGATGGAAACTCTTTACAGGACTTAAAGTGTGCGGGTGGGTTTGGCACCAACATTCAGAACACTCCAGAACAGTCCACAGGCTGGGAAGGAAGAGGATAGAAAGCAGGGAATTATGGCCAATTCCCAAGTGCTCATGTGGAGATCTTGGAGGCACTTGGTGCCTTCCCATGGGGCAGCCCCACCAGCCCTGAGCAGAGGCCAGAACCAGACACTCACACCATCCCAGCCCTCCAAAGCCCTCATTCCATCCTCCAGGAGCCCAGGGAAACACTGCCCCGGGCCAGAGGAGCCAGGAGCCATCCACAGCACAGGGATGGATCAGCAGCTCTCACCTGGACAGCTCCTCCAGCTTGGACTTGGCATAATCCAGGCTGTTCCTCTCCACGTGCTCGTGGGGCGTGTGGGCCAGCAGCTCGTGCAGGGTCAGGATGTACCTGGGGATCTGCAGCACGAGGGACAGAGCTGAGGTCAGTGGGGCACAGGGGACAGCAGGGCCCACCCTGGGCTGCTCCTGCCATGCCTGGGGGCACCCCAGCCTGAGTGGTTAAAGCTCCAAAGCTCCTTGTGCCAAAGCTGAGTGAAGAGGGGGCACAACGTGGGGCTGTGCCCAGGACCCTGCTGGTCCCTGTCCCAGTCCCAGAGGATGACTGAGGAGCCAGCAGCACCCAGAGTCCCCCACAGAGACGCCCCAAGCAGGCCCTGGACCACCATGTGGGACCACCAGGGTGCAGCCCCAGGGCAGCCTCACCCAGGCTCTGCCTCCACCATACAGTGCCAGCTGTGGGCACGGGGTGTGCACTGCCAGCTGTGGGCATGGGTGTGC